GATACATACAACTTATAGATTGTGTAGATTTAGTGCCCAGTGCGTCACTGTTCTATAGACGCTTGCCAGTTTCGGACTGAATGCATAACTAAATATTCTGGCACTGACTTTTGTACTGCTGCATTAGTTAAATTATCCCCCGTTCCGGGAGACCCAGTCGACATTTTCGTGCACTGCCATCTGTAAGTTGTGGCTGTGCACCATGCGAAACCCAGTTTATTCAATGAGAGTTTCTCAACCTGCCCATATTGAACTGAGCTTCGCATTGTGCGTTCAATTAGTCAGCATCGCCTTCCTTTGTTTGAACTGCATAGCGAAGTTACATCGGCTGGAAATGTAGTCAGTTGTCAGTGGTGCTCACCGATGCATCTTTTTTCTGGTAGCTTATTTCTGACAGCATTGTTAGTAGTGTACGTTTAATGGTAAGATCGGGGACTGGTGGTGATACTCAACATTGCTGATGCTATTAGTTATATTAGTGATGTTCACATTTTGTTTAAAAAGCTAGTCGTGTGGACTGATGGATCCGCTTTCCTGGAAAATCTGACTTTTAGGTGAATCAACCATCGTTTGCTAAATAGTTGCAATAACTGGACGGTGGTTACTCTGGATAGGTCGTCTGTGCACTTTAAACTGGATTTCCACACAACTGGAAATTTTACGTAACATGTTTAAAGGAGCGTGGGTTCTGGTTGACACGGTTTCCCTGACTGTGGGCTGATTTGCATATACTGGACTGTGTTTGACCAATATTCCGGTCTATAAGCGAACCACGAGTACCAAGCCCTACATAAATACGTATTCATTAAAATTGTGAAGACTTGAAAAGCTCTACGCAGTGCTATCGTGTGACATTCTCAAAGTGCGTACAAATTCATAGCAGCACATCCCGTTTTTTTCAGTGGGAACAGATGGAAATCTCGTGACACAAAATCGAAGTTTCGGTTTCTGACTAGTGATCCACATTGGAGTACCATCCAGCAAAATTGTTTATTCAGCAGACGGCAAGTTTGTCCGCTAGTACTGGTATTCAAAGCTTGGGTGTTTGAAAAATGGTAGCTCTTCAAAGTAACAGGCGAATCACCTCGGATTCTGCAACACCCTGTTTCTTGCGGAGTCCCTTAGAAATTCATACCCAAGAAACCTATCGAAAAAGCTTCATTTCGGCGGCACTGGTCAGACTAGATACAATCGCCTTTTCGTAATGTGAGGTCGTATCACTGCCTGCTTTGTGTTGGGGTTGGGCATGCTACACTCGTAAACGGACGATCCAGTTGGGATTCATACGACTCTCCAGTTGGGACCAAATCTTAAAAAATGTGTGTAGTTCACGTATTCACCGAACTGGTTTGAATTATTCCCTTTCACCATCACCTTTGACAGCCAATTAGATAAAACAGAATTCTACTCAGCGTCTCACTGCAGCACATTAGTCCAAAATTTCACATTCTTTTTAACTATAATGAGAGGAAAATACTCCGCCATATTCGGCTCTGCAGTTTTGATAGTAGACTACAAATTCTTATCAGCTGATTTCATTTAAAACCAGCTTGAAATTTTAAGACGAGATCTAAGATTTTGTTTTAAATCCATGCTCATGCTCTAACAAACGCTGTGGCGGCAGATTTACAGTTTTTTTAGTGATCGAGGTGAACAATTTCAACACATCCACGTGCATGTAGTTTAAATGACGCAGAAGCAACTGAATGTCAGTTAGACGAACCGTCTCGTCTCAAGATGGACCAAAAAATGGAGAGTGACCCTACTAATGGATAGAACAAATTAGCTTGCCTTAGAAACGTCCTTGTGGGAAAAGAGTACAAATCCGTACAGGTGTCCAAATGTCTACACTAGCAGGTGTATACAGAACATAGAGAGTAGGCGCTGAAAGAAAATCGCTTGTACAGACTGAAAACCGATATCCGTCAACGCACTTTTGTAGAGCACCAGCAAAATGACCTTCATTGTCATTGTAAGTGAGCCTTTGTAGCTTAGTTTGTGCACGTTTCACAACCCGATCAAAGTTGTTTTCGACATGTTTGTGTTGTCACAGTAACTGCGCTCACACAGAGATAGGGTAGATGGCTTCAATGTACACATAAACTGTTACGTTTTTAAACTGACCCGTTGAAGCTAGGTACCACCCACTACGTGCCGTTCAGTGAAAATTCCACAATTGCCAAATTTAATAACTGTTCTCAGGTTCACCTACGTTTCGATAAGTCATTGAGCTCTGTGTAACGTAGGAGAATGTATGATCTCTGTCGTTGCTGTCAGACGACAAGCAATTTAGACACAACGTAGTGTGTGCGTGCTCAGTACCAAATAAAATTCATATAAGTAACTATGGATGTTCGCAACACAAATACAGACTGCACAATC